GAGAGAAAGAGAGAGAGAGAGAGAGAGAGAGAGAGAGAGAGAGAGAGAGAGAGAGAGAGAGAGAGAGAGAGAGAGAGAGAGAGAGAAAGAGAGTAAGTAAGAGAGAGAGAAAGACAGAGAGAAGGAGAGATGTAGGCTCTAGCAACAATCAGAGACGTAAAATCTTCCCTATCAAACCGCGGTAGCCCCAGGTATAAACGATACGCAGCATGAGCGATGCATCAAGTGAATACTTACCACATCGCAAAGAAAAAGAAAGAAAAAGGGATAATAAAATGAAGTAACAGCAAAAAACAAAAACAAAGAAAAAATGCACACGCAGAAAAAAACCCCAACAACAAAAAGCAGCCCCCCCCCCCCCCTTCCCACTCTCGGTAAAAAAGCCCAAACTCACTTGGAAACAAAGGAACTGGTGGGCAAAGAATGATTTAAAAAATATATAATTGTCAAAGAATGTAAAAGAAAAAAGGAAGACAAAAAACCCCCAACATAATAACATTATAAAAACAAACCCAAAACAAACAAACAACAGAAAACAAAAGAAACAACCAAATTCCTGCTTATTTAACCACCAACCTCAAAATCCACAACGCAACAACAAAGGTTACCCCAAAACCACGGAGACGTGATGAGTTTGTGTTAGTTTCAGCGTCACCAGATCAGTGTTAGAAACAGTTGTCGTTGTTGTTGCTGTTGACCTGCGCGTAAACTGGTCATGTCGTGGCATTGCCTGCTCTGTGGAACTCAAATCCTATTTAAAAAACAAAAAACGACAGACAGAAGCAAAAAGCAAAACAGACAACCCACAGTCTTTTACAGAGGTTTATGTTAAGTTGCAACACGCGTGGTAGGCATTCGGCTAGCTGAAGGCGCTACATTGCCGCCGGAAGAACAGCTTCTGTACAGCGCTCACGACCAGGTACCTGCGTGCAAAGTTGGAGAACGCAAACATTATTAACTTAGAATGTCTCTGGAACTTTCTCGTTGACGTCATTGTCGTCTTGATGGCGTCTGCTTGATCCCACTTCCGGCGTCTCACTGTGTAGTCTACCTGCTGGTGTGTTATATGTTTACAGACACATTGACGATAGTATAGCGAGTAATAAATGAAGAAAGAAACTACCTCACATACGCAAGTAGAATTAAATGGATGGCTGTGTGGAAACAAATTAATGAAGCACAAATATTAAATGGAGGAGGAAGAAGAGGGATGGGAGTAATTAAGGAGGTGTGTGGGAGGTGAAGGGGAGATGAATTAACAGGAATAGAACATTAAAACGATGCAAAACATATTGAATGACCAATCAGGCGGATTCTCTGTTTGTGCAATTTTTTGCATTGATGTGTGTGTGTGTGTGTGTGTGTGTGTGTGTGTGCGCGCGTGTGTATGTGTGAGTGTATGTGTGTGTGTGTGTGTGTGTGTGT